ACACACACACCCTGCGGCCGAACGACCGTTACACACACACACACACACACACTCCCGCGCGCGCTCTCTCACAGGATTGTCTCTGACAGAAAAAGGCGCCAATAACAATAATGTAGATGGAAAACGGGATGAAAAGCTAAAAAATTAATTAAACTATGATTTAAAATTAAAATAAATAATTTTAAAATATAAACAATCAAAATAAAACGTACTAAAAAAGATTAAATATTGTATTTGTTTATCTGCATGTCACGTGACCATTAACCGTCATCAGTTAACGGTATCTTTTGATAAATATCAACTCAGCTGTCAAAACCACCGGGAATCGCTAATGTAGATTAAAGAATAGAATAGAAACAGTGATTTTTTTTTTTTTTAGATCTACTGCCTGATAGAAACACACCTGAAAACTGCAACAAACAAAAAAAATCTGTATTACAAATAATCATTACAGTGCGACCGGAGAATGAACAAGATGACAGTCTGCAGAGGGAACAGTCCTGTGAGCTTGATATTGGTGTTGAACTTTCTGTAGAGTTCAGGCTCAAACACTAAACCTTCAGTACAGGCTTATTATCTCTCTCTCTCTCTCTGATGAAGTGTTCCTGTTGCTATGGAGACCAGCATCCCTGCCGTCTCCATGGTGATGTGTGCTAGTGTGAGTGCAGCAGAGGGAGAGCACCTGGAGCTCCGCCCATGACTCATCTGACCACCAGCATAAAGTCACATCTGATGGACATGTAACGTAGCCAATCAGAGGGTGAATCTGACTCTTGGAGGCGGGGCCATCTCAAATCAGAACGTCTGTCACAGATTTAAAGCGACGAAGCGCACAAACTCTGGCTCTGTCCCAATACACACAACTCGAGCTGTTGACTAGCTCAGTGCCCTTAACGCACAGTAAATCCACACTTCAGAGCAGGATTATAACAATAAAGATATCATTCTAAATTAAAAAAATTAGCAGAGTGTACATCACAACTGTAACGATAACGACACAGAGGAACGACATCGTTTTTCGAAATCGAAATTTTTCAGCCTATGAACGATAAAAACATCGACAGCCAATCAGAATCCATCCTGCTTTAAAGAGCTTGAGCATTTAAAGCGACAGACGACAAAACTGCAGCGTGTATAATAAACAGAACGTACTGTAGCAAATGTACTTCTCATTGTTTATTAATGCATTAACTAATATTAACTAATGGGGCCTGATTGAAAAGTGTTAACTAGTTCTGTCAAAACTCTACTTGCATGTTTACAACCCTATGCTGTAGTGTGTCAAATGAGTAATTAAACGTTTTACACACACGTGACATCCACTAGAAATACGTCATGTAAGTAGACAAGTGATCAAGTGCAAACGCCGCAAGTGTGTGTACTGGGACGCGTCTACAGGAAATGACATCACAGCCAATCAGAAGCAGGCCACTGAATCAGCAGAAGATGTTCTAGTATGAGTGTGTGTTTGAGGAACACTTACTAGGGTAGATGTGGCGTAGTAGTGTGTGTGACCGCTGGGGAGCAACACCGGCTGAAACACACACAACCCAGAGGCTAGTTACAGCAGCGAGCGGCTAGCTAGAGCTAGAACTCAGTCACGTGACTAGAGCAGATGGATAGTTAGTGGTTTAGTTAGGAATGAAATAAGTATAACAATAAGAAACATCATTTATTATACACTAAAACACAGCAGAATTGAAAGTGAAGCTAGTCGTCTGGTGCTCATTTGTGGGTCAAAAGTGACCGAACACCTGCAATGTAACTTATTTTTTATTTTTTAGTAAAATCAATGTTATATATTTTTATTTTTATATTTTGAGAGAATTTTATGGTACTAATGCCATTAAAAATAATTGTGAAAAATTCTAATATTTTTACATTACTTTTCAATTATGGCAGTAATTCGTGTTAAAATAGAGACAATGCCTTTAAAATCCAATTTTTGAAAGCAGGTTAGTGGGAATAAAAAAGAAAAACATCTGCAATTCCATTGTTTAGCCACTAGATTCCTATATAGATCTATATTTAAAAATCTCTAGTTGTTTTTAGACATAAATACTTATTTTTATTAAGTTGTGGATTTGGATTTATATTTAGACATTCTCAACGACAACGTTTTGTAAAGGTTTAGATTCTTTTGTTTTAAATGTTGGTTTGAAATGCCAGTTTCTGCATTGATTTTACTAGAGTCAACCCTGAAAACAGAGAAAGACATTTTAGTACACATAACATCAGAGATCAGCAAAAATCTGACAGAAATTAACAGGAATGCTTTATCAGAGGTTAATCAATCTGATTTCAATCTCTTATTTGAGTCTTTTGGCTCAAGTTAATAATATTGTAACAGCCACACCAGTTCATTTGTGTGTGTATAAAAGTGTGTTGTGTTGTGTGTG